GTTCTTAATGAATATTTAATTTGTATAATACTAGATCCATAAATTTAAATATCTATTTCATATAAGATATGAATTTTACTTGAAAAATTTGCATAAGATATTTCTCTAAGACCCATAAAAACTCATTGATGTATTTTAATGTATCATATTTTGCCATGATTTTAAGGATTGTTGTTAGAGAACGGTAAATTTCTTTTCATATAATATATATATATATATATATATATATATATATATATATATATACTTGAATTTATCATATTCTGCCATTCTAATGGGGATGAAATTGAAAAGCATTACTTGCCTATATATAGGCCGTCATAATAATGATAGACGTGAAATGGCTGTCAACTGTAAGCCAAACAAACATTTAAAACAGAAAATATATTTGGCCTGGTGCGACTAGCAGAGGCCTATGGTTTGCAAAACTAGAAATACCTTCAATTAAGTCAACTGTTAACATTCTGAAAAGACCTATAATATAATATCGTGTATTGTTTAGTTTACCTCAGAGTTATCAAGAAGCTTTGACAATATCATAAACGTATAATATATATATATATATATATATATATATATATATATATATAAATAATGTGTGAGGTGACTCCTTCAGTGTAGCCTTAGAAAAATTGTTTAATTATCTCAGCATTTGTCGTATGTATGTGTTAATATAGATTAAGAATATGATCTTATGGAGAAAGTTTAAAGCTTAAATTTAAAATAAAATAACGTAATATACCTTTGATATTTGTCTGATTTCAGCATCTCCTCAGTACTCAATAATTGTTGTTGTCGTTATGCTTGTGTGTATGTTGCATTTAAATTACATGGGTTGTTTTTTTTTCTACAAGTAGCCTAAGGCGTAAGACTCAAAGGTTCAAAGTGGAATTATGTAAACCATTTACAATGCAAGGATTTCAAATATTGAAAAGGTGCTTCCACCAAACCAAGTAAAATTAAATCCACAAGATGTCACTGGGTTGGTTTGGTTGGGGGGGGGGGCCTTACTGTACGGGGCTCTGATGACATGTATAAAGGGGAATTATTTGTCTAAGGAAGAATTCAATAATCTTCCATTACTAATCAAACCAATCTCAGCATACGGAATTGGGTTGGGGGGGAGGGGAGGGGGGCGACGACAAAACCAACAATATTGAATGATAAAGTAAAGATCAGAAAAGGAAAGGAGGAGGCCTGCGCCTGCCGTCTGTAGTGGCAGCATGGTGGGCGGGTTTGTAAACTCAACTAAAATTTACGCTCAGAATCAATGAATAAAACAAAGTCCGCCCAATATTCCAATGAACTAATCACAACAGAGCAATAAAAGCTGTTGTGTCTGGACTAAGATTGTGGCGGGGGGAGGGGGGGAGGGGGGAAGGGGGAAAAACGCTAATATTTATAGGGGACTGCGTTGAAAGCGTGTTAAGTAAATAAATAGTAGAGGAAGCTATTATTAGGATCAAGGACATCAATGATTCATTGCCTTTTTCCAAAGCCTAAGCATATATGTTCCACTACTTCAAATTGTGGAGATTTGTTTTTAATAAATATCTCTATACATTAAAGTAATATTACAGGTCCCCAAAACAGCCAAAATATAAAGCATAAATGAAAAATATAACATAAAATTTAGTTTTTAAAAAATGCAAATAATTTTTAATTGTTTACTTTGTTTTTTTTTACTCTTTCTTTTTAATTTGCTAAATGGCGTTATTTACATTTCCGGTAAAATCTATATATCTAAACATATATATATATTTATACAAAATTTTTTGAGTTTCAACGTTGAAAAGAAGAGAAAAGGAAAAAAAAAAGATGCATTCTTTTCTACTCGCATTATATATTGACTTGGTCTCTAGCAAATTTTCCAACTTTGGAAAAACATTCCTGGTGGCACCTCCGCGGATGAGAGTGAGACCTGATACTGATAATAGGCACCAAGTTCACTTTTACGTGTGGACTTCCCATCCCCAAGACGTCATAGTCCTCATTAAAAGCTACTTCATCCCCATCGCTCATTTCGAGCTGAACGATTCGATCACGCTGAAGCCTAGGACGGTAAGCGAGTACATCCATCACACGGGAGGCGAGCTCCAGAGAAAGAGCGGCGTCTCGTGGAGCTACTGGCTCCACAGCACCAAGGCGTTCGCGCTTCAGGTCCACGTGAGGCCGAACAGGCATTCCGTGTCCGCTTTCCAGGTGGTGCCCGTGAAATCCTGGTCGCGACTCTACTACGCCGTGACGTTATTCGAGAACCCGTCCATTCAAATCATCAGCAACGTCGATAACAACACTGTGCGGGTCTGGTTTCGATTCCACGGACCTGCTTCGCGGAAATTTATCATCAGCAACCTCAACTTTGCACCGAACAAGACACTGCGCATAATACTTGATAAGAGGAGAACCTTATCCATTCATCAGTGCGACCTAACGAGAGCTAATCACAACGGGTCAATGACGGGCACGCGAGTACTCGGTCAAGATCCCATAGGTGTTATCAGCGGCAACTGTCACTCGTCGACGTATACCACCAACTGTCATAGTGATGAGCCCACTCGCTGGGGCTCCTCCTCGGATATAGTCACTGAGATGCTCTTGCCCGTCGAAGCGTACGGAACAGAGTTCGTGGTCATTGCATTGAGGGAAAGAGACCCGCCGGGAGCCTTGATCATCGTGTCCAGCGAGAACGAAACGAAGGTCAGTATAGTATTGACCTCGGACGGGAAGTACAAAAACATAACTTTAAACTTTGCCGGTGACGTCAACACGGACATCTCCATGGACGACAACCGAATGCTCTTCAGTAATAAAAAAATACAAGTCGTTATGATGTCGCGGTCAGCTTGCTGGAACTCGGATGAAAATGAAGGGATAGGCGACACCTCAATCAGCCTACTCGTACCCAATTATCTGTTTTACGTAGAGTACTTCTGGATTACGCCGGACCTCACCCCCGATAGTTTCGCCACCCTCGTGGCCGAGAAAGCACATATCGAATATCTCGTTTTGGATAATTTACCTCTACAGGACACCACCGCGTGGAGCAAGGTGACCGGCTCCATGTCGTTTCTCGTCACTTCGGTCAAAGCCTCCACGGGGAGTCATTCGGTGGCATCGACTCATTACTTCAATTTTGGATGCTATCTTTCCGGCATGAAGCATAATGCAGAATACATGTACCCGGCCGGATTTCACGAGCACTGCGTCACGAAATTGGAGAATATGATACCTGACGACGGCATCGACAACGACTGCGACGGGACAAAAGATGAAGAAACCATCAATGGCATGGATGACGATTACGACGATCAAATCGATGAAGACACTTTCCTGATCTACGGGAAAAATGTTTCCGCCATACACGGCAGTTGGGGAGAATGGGAGCCGTGGGCGTGCTTTCCCACTTGTGAAATCACCCCTGCCTTTCGGATGCGTACGTGCACCAACCCGGCTCCCAGCTTAGGGGGTCGCTTCTGCCAAGGTAACGACGAGGAATCCTCGAACGCAACATGCGACACAAACAAAACGTGCATTCCTACATGTGAACAGTTCGCCTGGGGAAAGTACTGCAATCGCACCTGCTTCAACTGCAAGGACACGTGTGACACGCGGTCCGGTGTGTGCACGGGCTGTAAACAAGGGTTCAAAAATCCTATAGTCGGGTGTGACGAGGCGTGCGGTGTCAATGAGTACGGTGCAGGCTGTCAAGGGAGGTGCTCGGTCAAGTGCGGTTCCGGTACGGATTGTGTCGACAGGGTCACGGGGGAATGTCCTAAACTGAGGACAAAGTATTTCATCTATTCGCCGCTTCTGATGGCGGTGCCG